CTCAGTTATAGTTACACTTATGATAGCAATCTCAAGATAACTTTCAACCAAAATCCAAGTTTTCAAAGAAGTGTCAGAAACTGTACAAAAGAGCTCTCGTTTACAAAACAGAAACAACTAATTTGTCTATAATTAACAAAAGCATCTGGCCATGTATTGGCATACGAGTTCTAGTGTATTGCTTCATTTAAAACTTGGCTTTAGAAGTTAAACAACTTTCCTGTTGGTCTACAAACAATCTTATCATCTCTCCAAGTAAAGCAGCACGGTGCCAGAAAAGATAGATACTACTCAAGGCTCATAATCCAGTGACAGAGGGCAAAAATGGAACTTCAACATATAACAGTAGTTGGATTCAGCCAGACTGTGTCTTGGTATTTCTCCAAGAAATTAAACATCCACTCTTACAAGCATCAGTGTACAGAAAGACAATCAGACTGATTGCAATGCAATCAGACCTTCCAGAGTTATTTAAATGCATCTTTAGAAGATACTTAGTCACAGTGCCTAGAAAACAAAGCTGTCGACAAACACAGCTTTAGCAGCACTTCAGCTTCCCCCTAACAAGAGAAGACAGGAGGTGAAGATCAACATATTTAGTAGTAAGATTGTCAGTTATACTGGCATTTGATTTAAAAAAAACAAAAAACAAAAAAACAAAAAAACAGAACATTTTTAAAGAGTAATTTTAAGTACCAAAGTCCAAGAAGTCCACCAAATCCACTTCACACTGTGGAAAAATTTTTCAGGTCACATTTTAGTTTTGTTAAAAATAATTCTAACACACCTAGCAGGCTCGTGTTTCAACAAAAACATTTTTTCCTTAAACGAAGAAAAAAAAAGTGCTATGCATTACTCAGAAGTAGCTTACCAGCCAACCAATACCTATGTGACACTTCAGAAGTTTTATCCATCCAAATGCAGCAGTTGCCTCAATCTAGAACCTACATTATCAGAACAGTGAAGCGTGGTTTCACCCCAGTGCTGTAGTGTGAGAAGGAGATAAGGAAATCTCAGTGCAGCAACAAGAGTGCACACCACCACTGGCAGCATGTCAAAGGTCTCTTATCAGCAGTACAAGCGATAGAACGGCACCGATTTCACCTTAGCCCCATTACTAAATGCAGAATGTGCAGAAAATCATATACTACACAGTGACTGAATTCTAGCCCTTGCCAACAGAATACCTTTTGCATCCTGACCATATGGAATCCATTACTATCTATGGCTTTATCTGTATTGTACCCACCTTTTGCTATCTAGCCAAAGGTCACCATCAGCTTATCAGTTAGCACATTCACTCCCACAGACACCTGTACTTCTAACAGCTTGCACCTAGAAGAGAAGCAAGCCACATGAAGTGCCTCTGCTAACTGGTTCAGCAGGAACTATGTGAGCTTCTGCTCACTATACAGAAGAACACGTGCAGATAGCACATCCACTTCTGGCATCCTCCACTCTTATGAGTTGCATTAGAGGTCTATAAACTACAAGATACAGCTGTGCCATATTTCCATGGCATACCTCAGTTAAAAGCTGCATCACTGGACAATTCCAGCCAGAATTCATAGAACAGTCTGTCCTACCTCAGCTCAACTCCTTCTCCACCAAAACAGGATAAAATCCCATCTTTTGTCAGTGGAAAAGATGAACAGTTGAGATGTCCATACCTATACAGGAGTTCCGAAAAACATGAGGTGTCTGATTCCAGTGCTATGATCAGTTATGCCTGAAGTAGCATCATCTCGACTCAGGAGGTGCTACTACAGTTCAAGCAGCACCTTGCTGAGCCTCAGAGTACTCTAAACATAAAGGCACAACTCTACAGCTGCCTAAAAATTAAGCTAACAGAGCTGCTTTATCAACCATTTACCTTTCTTCCAGGCTCTATGGGGCCTTACTTTTGCAAATGTTCTCAGAGTACACTGGCCATACACAAAGAGGAGTGATCCCTTACACAGCTCAACTGTATCAATTCACTGTAACAGAAGGGTCGCAGTTTGAATAAGATTAGTTATCCATCTTGTGCTGTTCTATGCTTTCCTCACCCAAAAGGATCCAAGCTTTTATTTCCTCCCTTGCAAGAGTACCAATTCCAAGTAAGAATGCAAAACAGACCAACTCTAATTAGCCAAGTAATTAAAGTTAACTATCCAGAAAAGACAAAGCCTAAGTTCATTTCCACTTAGTAAAATGCACAAATGCATTTGTACATTTTATGCATGATAATTAAGCTTAAAAACAGACAGCACTAAGAGATTCTCACGGAAGGCGGATGTGCAAGTTGGCCTGTTCTCATATAAGGAATGAACAGAATCCAGGTGTCCCATTTCTGGGTGAGGCTTCTCCAAATAAAAGTTGGGGAAAAAAAATAAATAAATAAAATAAAGAAAGGGAATAAGATGGGAGGGCAAGAAAAAATATTTAGTCAATTTCCTCTAAAATTTTATTTAAGAATAGAAGACAGACCAGGATTCCTGGTGGTAGAGCCCAGTGATGGAAGACTTGGACTTTAAAGGTTACTCTCAAAATAAAACTTCCATCCTAAGCCAAGAGTTCACCCTGTTTCATCACTAAGGCAGCAAGCCTCATTGGCTAACTTCTAGATATTCTAGACTTTCGCTATATCTGATTTCCTGCATGTTTGAACATCAAGTAATATACCTGACCAAGGTTAAGTTAAGATGGAAGAACTGCGTTGAAAGTAGAATCATAGAATCATTACAGTAGGAAAAGACCTCTAAGATCACCTAGTCCATCCCCACCATCTAATCACTAATTAAGCCCACTAATCACTCCCTCAGCGCCACATCTACATGTTTCTTGAACATCACCAGGGAAAGTGACTCCACCACCTCCCTGGGCAGCCTGTGCCACTGCCTCACCACTCTTTCCGAGGACAAATTCTTTCTAATAACCAACCTGAACCTCCCCTGAAAGGGAGCAGAGAAAGCTATCACACAGAACACTGCACCGTGCAAATCAGACCATTATAGCTAGAGGCCTCTAACTTACTATCTTTAATGAAAAGCAGCATACTTCTGTCAATGGATTAGAAGACGTTTCACGCCAAGCAGTCCTTCAAAAAGCTCTGGATTTTTGTACTTTTGCTAAAAAATGAACACAGAGAAGAAATGTTAGCATAAGACGACCATTTTTTTCCTCTTCTCAGATACTGTTACAACTCCTTGTCAGTTCGCTGCTCAGGTCAGTAATGTACCAGAAGGGATGACACTGAGAAGTGTTTTAAGAACACCTGAGAACAGACAATGAGCTGAAGTAAGATCAACAGATGGCCACTGAATGCACAGTACACATCTGGTAACAGATGAGAAGTGCTATGACACTGTATTGCCAGAATTTATTCCCTCACAAAAATCAGGTGGCTCTTCATTGTAGAGTAAAGTAGCACCATGCTTGTTTTCACCTGTCCTTTTCCGCAGTGCTCATCACCTTCTGAACAACTCACAGTGCCTCACAAATGGATTGGCAAGCACTCCAGGACGGGCCACAGGTGAAGAAAAAGTCCTTCCATGCACGAAGTTGCCACTAAATGCCAGCCATAAAGGGAAAAAAAAACAACAACGATCACCGACAAAATGGTTCCACTAATTCTAAGACAATTATTAATGCACACCATCCAACACGACCTACTTAACAGGTTCTACCCATCACAAACGATACACCCTATGAGTAGATGGCACTCAGCACATTCAAAGAGATAAGCCATGTGCAAGCAAAGTGGTTTTTCCAGGCAGCATGCAACATCTATGCTGCAAAGTAAGGTGTTCCTCATATACCATCATCAAGCCCACTACTTCATTTAGCACAACCTGCCAACAAAGGTAGCAATGCAGACCTCTCCGTGGACAAGCCAACCAACAGAGCATCCAAGTTGGCAGTGTGGTGGGGAAAGCTACAAGCTCTGTACATCAACACTTCTGCAGGTCCCCCCAAGTTAAAACTCACCATCAGCACATCATTTCTCTCCAGGGGAGAAGCTGCTGCTGCAAGAGAAACACCTTTCTTTCCACGTGGCCTTTTTCCAGCACCTTCTGCTGAAAGTATGAGGACTGAAAGCATCATTATCTCTACTGTTAACACAATCAAAACACAGAGACTGTGACAAACCCTCTGTGAGGGTGACAGGCTGCCCAGAGAGGTTGTGAAGTCTCCTCTGGAGACATCCAAGACCTGCCTGGACACTTCCCTGTACAGCCCTGTAGGGAACCTGCTTTAACAGGGGGTTGGACTGGATGTTCTCCAAAGGTCCTTTGCAACCCCTACAGTTGTACGTAACCCATAAGGACACAAAGCACAAAAAGATGTCCGCGTCACCCACTCAGGCCTGGGCTGAAAGCACACAGTGACTGTGAGACTGACTGCCTCGTGTGTCAGGGAAGCAGATGACAGCACGCTGCTCTGTGTGACAGCCCTGCTGAGGGGAGCCTTGCCACAGGCTGCCTTAACGCTCCACATCTGCAGCCCATGGGGTGGAAGAGCTGCACGTTTTCTTTCCCAGACTCAGCTCCTTCTTTGCTGAAGGTCAGTCACATCTCACCTCAACACAGGGCAAGCTGATGTCTTAACCAGTCCAGATGAAGATGACTACAGGAGGAAGAGCGATGCACCGCTCCTAGAGATGCCCGCAGATGCTCATCCCCGAGCCCAGAGCGCACTCACGAGCAGCAGCCAGAAAAGCCCCGCACAGCCCTCACCCTGCGGCGGCCCGCCCGGCCCCTGCCCGCCCGGAGGCTCTGCGGTGCCGCCCGGCAGCGCCCTGACAGCGCCCGCTGCAACAGGAAGTGCGGGCGCCACGCACCGCCGCGCCGCAACGCGCCCCGGGCACCTCGCGGGGCATTCGCGGGACCGCCGGGCCCCGGCGCCGCGCACCGCACGCTCACGGCTGGGCTGCAGCCCGCGGGAGCCCTCGGGGCCGCGCCGGTCCCCCTCCCATCCCGCACGCTCCGCCGGGAGCCCCCCCTCGCCCCGCTCCCTACCTGCCCGGTGATGCCGGTGATGAGAGCCACCTTCTTGTCGCCCATCTCCCCGTCGCCGCCCTCGTCTCCCGGGGCCGCGGCTCCGACACGCGTTCCCGCCGCTGGCTGCGCCACGCTGCCGGCGGGGAAGGCGGCGGCCCAGGTGCGGAGGTAGCTCGGGGCGGAGGCGCGACCGCCGCCGCCCGAGGGCAGGGCCAGGGCGCCGGGGGCGGGCACCGAGATGAAGACGGCCGCCGCCCCGAGCGCGGCTCGCACATGGGTTGCCGGCACCCGGCAGCTACCTCTGCCCCGGGGGCATCGCCCCGCCCGCCGCTCCCGGCGCAGCCGTCCCGTCCCGCCCCGAGGCGGCCGCAGGTGCGGCCCCAGCGCCGCCGCCGGCCCGGCCCCCGCCCGCGCGCGCGCTAACAGGGGGAACCGCGGGCGCGCGCCCCGTTTTTTTCCCACCCCTCCCCTCGCATCGCCCCGCCCGGCTCCGCTCTGCAGCCAATCGGGAGCCTCGGCGCTTCCTTAAAGGGATAGGAGACGCCGGCGCGCCGCGGCCGAAGGCGAGTGCAGAGATTGGTTGGGAGCGGGCGAGGGGGCGTGGCTCGCGTAGCTGCCGCCGCGGAGAAGCGGAGCCTCCGACTTCCTGACCGCGTGTCGCCAGGGGGCGGTGCCACGTGAGAGCGACGAGCGCGCCGCGGCCCCGCCCTCGTGCGCCGGCGAAACAGCGACCCCTGCGGCGCGGAGGAGCTGGCGGGCAGCGAAGGATTTAAGCCTTGCATTGCTTTTCTCATCCGATTCCCTCCTGAGAAGCGCGGCTTGACTGAATAAGTGCCCTCTTTTACTGATGCATGAAATTTCTGTATCTAAAAACTAACAGACAAGATAAAAAAGAGGCCTGGCTATGTTTCTATATGAATCCCCAAAGTCTGTCAAACCGGGGTTTCCTTATTATATGGTTGCATTGCAGGATCTCTACGTATCCAAACTGTGTTCTTATCATTTTACTCTTCTATTGTAGCTCATTGCAGGGCACGTAATTACTCAAGTGTCCTTGAAAGCCCATAAGATATATTAATCAGAAGATGAGCAAGAGTTTGGGGATATCGTGCCTTTCAGCTTGAATTGTACTCTGCAATCCTTAAGGCTTATCTGCACATTATCCCCACATGCTCCCAGTTTAAATCTTGTTGTTAAAGTTTCCAGAGGTGATGTAGGATTGCAGTCACTGCACTAGCTTGCATTGCCCTGTCTGGTTACTCAGCTGCAATTCATCCCATTGCATCGTTTCAGAACATTGCTTCCAAAGCCTTTTGGGGTGAAGTGAGAGCTAACGGTTTAAAATTATTTTTCAGATCTAATATAGAGTTACAGAATATCTTGAGTTGGAAGGAACCCACAAGGATCGAGTCCAACTCCTGGCTCCACACAGGGCCACACAAAAATCAGTGATAACACATACCATGTTTATTGTGTCTTTGCTGTTCTTGGCATTGAGAATGACATTTTTAGCAACTCAACAGTAACACCATTACTATAGCAGCAGGGCTTGTCATTAGAAACCCTTCACTTCAGCCTTCTGATGCATTAGCTGCTGTTCTTAACTGTACCTGATGAGGAGAGTTGGCTGCTTCCAACTCTGTGTAAGAGCAGAAAGTGCAGCAGGAGCTCACTGATTCAAGTGATGTTCAGACAGGATGAGACTTAAGTATGTCAGAATATGTCTTTGTAATACTTTATGTGAAACAGGACAGCATTGATCTATAGGCTTGGGTAATGGTGGCTGGCAAGAATGTGCATATGGCACTGAGGGACATGGTTAGTGGGCATGGTGGGAATGGGTTGGACACTGGAGGTCTTTTCCAACCTTAGTGATTCCATGATTCTGCAGTCAAGAAAGAGAAAAGACTAAAGGAAAATATTATCAAAGCTACTGAGAGAATTCTGCAATAAACCAAAAATCAGACAGTTGTCTCTTATACTCACTATGCTAGCTGTTCTCAGGGGTCCTAATCTCTGTGCAGAACAAGAATTTTCCCAGACACAGGCAGTTTTATAAAGTTGGCAACACTGTCTTCTACTTCTTCAAACTGATTTCATTCCACTGAATTGCTTTCAAATAATTACAGATTTGAAAGATAAGAAACACTACAAATAGTACAAATTATGCCCTCTTAGCTTTAAGATGACATTGAATACATAAAAAGGCACAAAATTCCAAGAGCTATAGAACTCCTTATGCTAGAAGTAAGGCACAAAACTTGTTTCTATTTAGCAATTTAGGGTTTGACATTGGAGAAAATTAGGAGCAAGTTCTCTTTTTCAAATAGATAATTCCCTCTCCTCCTAGATCAGAGTTTTGTAAAGCAGTGCATGAGCTACATTCAAAAATGTCCTTTTTATGGCAAGAAAAGTTCATCATTTTTAGCTTTTGTTGGCAGTCTGTTAAATGTACTCCAAAGCAAAGTTGGTCTTCTTTCTGTAATGCTTTCTGTATGCTTCTCAACAAATCAGTGAGAGGTGCTGACAGTGCAGGGCCTGAAGCTGGGTTAGGTCAGGAGCTCCCATTGCTCAGCTTTCATGTGCATTTAAGAGGCTTTTTTTGGTCACTCTCCAAACAGAATTTTGTCTACCCCTGTTTGTCCAAGAACCCACAAGACCTGTTTTTCAAATGTGGCATTTTTCTTGACTTAATCTCCAAAGCACTCCACCAAAGGAGGGAGCCTGCTCACACCTTTCATAACTCAGATGATTAATCAATTACATTGGCTGAAAGATTACCTTGACCCATGTCTGTACTCGTAGGTGACAAGTACCCCGGGCTCTTCCTCTGCATAGAGCAATTGTCTTTCTGCTCAGCATCTGCACCCCTCACAGAGTGAGGAGATTCAGGATGAAATATGCCAATTTGTGTTACTTTTGTAAGGAGAGCATCTCAGTCAGACTGTGCCGAGATCACTTTTGCAGGGTTTATACTGGTATTTTTAGTCAATACTAATACTAGAAACAGGCAGATGAAGCCAGACAGGATGTAGCCTAGTTCAGGTTCCAGCTGACTGAAGCAAAAAAAAAGTCTTGAACCTGTTTAAATTTCTGTTCCATTTATAAGTCTGGCACTGTAGTTACAGATACTGTTAGCCAGCTACCATAATCCTTCTAAATCTGCCCCTGGCATGCACTAGAGCACATTCCAGGTTAAACGCACAAAGACTGTTCTGTCACCAAAGTCTTCCAAGGTACATTTACAGACGAGACTGAAGGCTCGATTGTGGCACAGGTACTAGGTTTTACCTAAGTTGCTCTGGTGTTGACAGCAGTTCATGACAGACTGCAACGTTTTTCAGGATAGGCTGAAAACTGGACTACCCCAGGGATCTGGGGGTTAATATGTACTCTGGGCGCTAGCCTGCACTTATGCCTTTGTTGCTGCCTCCAGCACCTGTACCATTACGTGTGCTACCTAACTGAAAGCTGTGTCTGCCGACACCATAATCACTTTTTCATGCCTCTGTGTAGACCCGACTCTGGCTGCTAAAATTGGCAAAGCCTTCACTGAAGAGGAGACAGCAGATAGACACATACATGCACCCTCAGCCCCCTTGAATCCCTGTAAGAGAAGGGAGAAGCTTGCAAGCAGTAGAAGTTTTAAGACGAGTGAGTAAACTGACAAGACCTGAAGCAGCAAAAAATGAATAGCATGTGCCATAGCCTGTATGGTGTTAATGTGAACACTGCCATCCCAGGAAATGGTGAGAAAGACGTATAGAACAGATACGGTGAAATTTGCTTTTTGGTGGTGGATAAAAATATATATCACGTGGAAAGAGGGATGGAGAACACTGCTGATTGATGCCAAACTGGCCAAACTTAGGGAATAATGGAAATGAGCAAAAAGGAAACAGAGGGAAAAGTAAAGAGAAAATAAATCTTGCTGAGAATAAGGAAGGAAGGAATAATAGGAGGAAAAGGCTGAAGTATATTAGATTGCAAAAAAACTACCATATTAAGCACTAAGGGAAAAGGAAAGAGAACATACACAAACTGCTTGAATACTGCATGCATTGCAATCCTGAGGACCTCAGTGTTTGTATGGGGTTTTGGCCATATTGCTGACTGGGATTTGAAAAGGAAGTTATTTGAGGTTTCAGAATCTCATATGAACCCATTGTTAATACTTACAGAGATGAAGTAATCTTGCTTTACCTCCAGAACTAGAAATTGACAATTTAAAACAATCTTTTTTCCCACTGTGGAACAATAGCATCCCTACTACTATTTCATTAATAGTGTCATTCATAATAGACATGCTTTCTCTGCATTGCTTAGGCATATTTTGCTGTGATGAAAGTTGACATTTATTAGCATATCCTGCTCTATACAGGAGTTACAAATTGCAGGTGGACCAAGTGTAGTTCTCATCCTCTATCGCTCTGTAGCAGAGGGAAAAACTGGTGACTTGCCTCTTTCTGAGGCTCTTCTGAATGACCTACTTCAAACAGTTTAGGCAACTTCTACATCTGGGAACTCTGTCAATGCTGTACTCAAGCAAGAGCTCTGGTTCTTTGCTTACCTTCAATTTCAGTTGCCTGCCTACTGCTAACAAATACTTTGGATCCTGTCTGTGGCATTGAATGAAGTGACATCAAGGTGTTGTTCATATCCCATTGGGGATGGTTCAGGGAGCCAGCAGTGGACAAAGTAATACATGCAAGAGTTCTTTTCTTCATGAGGAGCTTTTAGTTCATACCAGCAGACCACTAAGGGAGCTGTAGTAGGCCTAGAAGAAAGCAATACACTAAGGGTTTGCTTCTCTTTTTCTACTTTGCTATTTTAATTTAACAGCGGAAAACAATAGTGTGCTTCACAAATCTGAGAAGATCTGGAAAGGAGTGTGAAAGATGAGATGGTAGAGAGTCCAGGAGAGATCCAGCATGATATGAAAGGAGGTGCAGGTGTTATAGAGTAGCAAGTCACAGGGGAAAGAAGGGCAGATCTCATTTGAAGTAAAAAGAAATGAAGAGTGGGAAGTTAAGGGAAGTCAGTTTCCATATTTAGTTTTTGAACAGTTGACTTGAATATCTGAGGGCACATGTAGTGACCCATGTTTGCAGTGCTCTGACATCGCAATGGCAGGCAGAGCAGAAACATGAGGACTTGGGAGATCTTTCTCGGTCGTGAGCCTTGGAGCCAATGCTCAGAGATAAGGCCTTACTGGGAGTAAATTTGAACAAACGAGGGTTTACACATGCTTTTGATCCCTGCTAAGTCTATTTAAAGTAACTGTTCTACTTAGAACAAGGACATCATAAACTGTTTC